AGTTGCCATATGACCCCACAATTCCACTCCTGGGTATATAGCTAAGAAAAATGAAAACATACATCTGTACAAAAACCTGTACACCACTGTTCATAGCAGCATTATTCACATAGTAAAAAAAAGAGAAATAAATCACCAAGGTGTCTATCAAATGATGAATGAATAGATAAGCAAAATGTATATACACACATAATGGGATATTATTCATTAGTCATAAAAAGGACAAGCTACAACATGGATGAACCTTGAAAACATTCTGCCAAGTGAAAGAAGCCAGACACAAAAGGCCATATATTATATAATATCATTTATATACCATGAAATATCTAGCAAACCATAGAGACAGAAAGTAGAGTAGTGGTCTTGAAAATGTTCTGGAATTGGTGGTGATGGTTGCACAACCTTGTGAAGATACTCATTACCACTGAATTGTATACTTTAAAATGATGAATTTTAGAGTACATGAATTATGCCTCAATTAAAAAGAAAAAAGATACAGCAACTAAATGCCATGTAAGATCCTGGACTGGATCTTGGGACAATAAAATGACATTCAAAAAAAAAAGCATACAGTACTGAGAGAAAAAGCAGCATAAAACCTGTAACACAATAACACCATTTATATAACTCAAACATAAATGCCCACACACACCACACACAAATATGTATGTTAAAAGACATAACTAAAAAGAGGCAGATAAAACACACTGGCATAACTGCCAGGGGCAGTAGTAAGAGAAATGAGAGTGGAAAACGGAGACAAATGAGAATAAACAGATAAATAAATGGAAAGCAAAACAAAACAAAAGAATGGTTCTGGCAGCGTTGCCATCACTAACACAGCCCTTCGCAGCCTTTGGGAACTTGGGTTCACTCTTAAAAATGAAATGAACAAGAGCTGATGCAACATTAGAAATTGATTCCAAAAAAACAGTACAGTTTAAAGATTTCTTTATAATAAGCAAGAAGAAGCGGGCTTAATCAGTTTATGCTCCAGACTTGAGAACAAGCCAGCACGGTGGAAGAGGTGGCGGTGCTGCCAGGATGCCACCAGACAGGGTCCCGAGTCACGAATATGTTTGAGAGTTTTGTACCACACATGACACTTGCCTTGGGAACTTGGTTAACCATTTCCTTGGCAAAATAAGCACAAATATTAAATAGTTTCCAGCAAAAGGGGGAAAGGAAGAGGACGGGAACAAGTTTTCTTTTTCCAGGTAACCGTCTCGTATGTGTTAATAGTGAGTGGCTTGTGGAGAGTCGGGAAGCAGTATCACATGGGAAGGAACGCAGCTCTGGGGAATCGATCTGAATGTGTGATTTCTGAAAACAGCTGTAGAGCTATAAATAATCACTTGCTTCTTTGGTGTAGCTGATAGATTTTATACGAATACAATGAAAACCCTGGAAGACTTAAAAACTACATGAATGGGATTTTATGGACAGAAATTTCTTCCAAAATCTGTCCATTTCTTACCTGAAAACACTAAGCGATTCTGGATGTTCCCACAGCTTAATAAAACTTAGAGTATAATAAGGTGTAATCACTGAAATGTGCTTTTACATGTCAAATGTAATTGTATTTTAAGAGGCTGCACCTACATATGAAGCCCACTTTAAAGCATGGGTCTGCTAGGGAGTTTCCTTCCATCCTTCCACTTTTCCTAAACACTGCCTGGCATTACGTAGGAAATCTTGAGACCGTCAACAAGACAGGTCTAGAAGTATTTGGGCCAGAATGTGTCAAACTTAATTTTTTATTCCAGGAAAAATGACTGAGCAACTTTGGACAAGATTTCACAGAAAACACCATCAACAATAAAGGGTAATTTGGGGAAAAAATGTACTAATACAATTCAGCAGTAGAAAGACCACTTCTTTGTTTGTCTCAAGGCTCCTCAGCGTGCAGTCTGTCGGTCAGTCAGCAGTAAGATGCGTACTTATACTGAGAGGAATAATTTAGAAAATTTTATGATGATTTAACAGAATAATTTTCTTTGTTTTTTTCACTTAACTTTTTATTCTATTTCACAAAAATGCTGGTCTGTGATGGACTAGGAAAAAAACACTGATGCTTACAGATGGTTTGAGAAGCACTGATCTATACTATTGCTAGTTCCACTGCTTCCAGCAGCTTCTATCACTAGGGTAGAACTGTTAGCTCTAAAACTGAAGGTTAGAAATGTTGAGTGGCTTGTTCAAGGTCAGACAACTAATCGGTGCCAAGCACGGTGACACAAGTGCACTACGTACATCATTCTCAGAACAACCCTGAAGTGTTATTTCCTGTGGCACTGAGTGAGGCCTGCTTTTTTGTGGGTCACAGAACAAGTTTAAGGTTAAAAAGCAGGCTATAGAGATCCTGGTAAAGAAACTGAGGTAACGAAATCTGAGCAAAATACATGAAGTAACAATGAGCCTTCATTCAAAAGATTTTATTGAGCACTTACTATGTGGTTAACATTGTTTTAAGCCCTTGGGATTTAGCACTGAACATGACAAACTCTCTAACGTCATGAATCTTAAGACTTTACATTCTAGCAGGGGAGATGACAATAAACAAGCTCACAGTTCAATAATCTTGGGTAGAGCTAAGTGCAATGAAGAAAAATAAAAAGAAAAGTAAAGCTGAGTAAGGGACTGGAGGAAGGCTGGGGTGGGCGGCGGGTAGCGTTACTTTCTTTTCGATACTGTGGTTGGTTAGGGAAGGCACGAAGTTAGGAGCACAGACTCTGGAGCCAGACTGCCTGATTCAAACACTTGTTCTGTCACCACTTTTATGACCACGGGCAAGTGCACATGCAGAGAATGGGAGACTAGCATGCCTACCTAGGGTTAGCGTGAGTATGAGAGGAGGCCGCAGATGTGAAGTACTTAGGACAGTACCTGCTGCATGGGACGTGCTTCCTAAAGATCATCACCTCCCCGGGCAGTGAGACTGAGGCAGAGATCTGAATGAGGGAGGCAGCCGGGCAAAGATGTGGTAAAATAATGACAACTCTCATTAGATGAGCACCTGGGGTATTTACGCAGGTTATGTACATTTTCAGCTTTAATCTTGACAGTGATCCTGAACTAGATATTACTGTTCCCATTCTGTAGATAAAAAACTGAAGGTCAGAAATGTTAAGTGGCTTGTTAAGGTCAGACAGCTAGCTAACAGGTGTCAGTGAACTCTGTCGGTCAAAAGCCTCTCTTCTATCGGGTTTATACTGCCTCTGCTAGGGATTGGCACAGACTTCCTGACTTTTACTTTGTTCATTGGTTCATTCATCCATTTACTCATCCCTTCATTCAGAAAGCATTTACTGAGTGCCTACAGAGTATCACAGTCAACTGGTAATATTTTCTCTGTCTTCAAAGAGCAGACCCTTGTAATAGGGAGACAGTGATGGAAGAATAATGCTCAACGAATTGCAGAGATAAGGAGGGTAATGGGATTTAGGGGGAGGAAGCCCATGTGTACAGAGGCCAATGAGGCTGAGCTCAAGACAGGGTTTGGAAAGAACACTGGGAGGTAAATTTCAAAGGCAGGTTGGGAGCAAAATCATAAAACACTTTCTGCTCAGAGAGTGTGGAAGCACTGGAGCTTCCACTGAGGAGGATTTTAAAAGGATCAGCAGAGTCTGGGCAGAGAAGGGAAAAGAGCAGAGGCAGGGATGTCACGGGGTCTTAGAACAAGAAGGGGCCTCACAGAGCAGCTGGGTGATCTCATGTCCATGAAGAAACAGCCCCGACAGACTCTCAGGCAGAAGGCAGATTGATGTAACACCTTAGATAAATGTATGTGAGCGGAGCAGTAGGAAGAGGAAAGGGAAGAATCAAGAACTAAAAGACCAGAAAACTGACTAGATTAGAGGATCACAGGGGCAAGGGGCCATGAATACACGTTATACAGTACAAGGAATTGCAACACGGAAGACTGAGCCTTCCTAAGTCTGCTGCGTTTGGCTTCTCGGTAGCTTTGCAAAATCAGAGAACATGAGCTGAGCATTATGTAATGGTTACCTTGTAATTCATAAACAAAGGACATGAACTGGTGCTATTCAGGATGGTTCCTAATTAGAAATTCTTAATGATCAAAGGCAGTTTTAAAGCTAGGCAAGATACTAAGCGAGTTTTATGCCCTATTTACTGGCCATTCCTACATACTCCCTTTCTCCGTTTACAAAGTTGCTGCCGAGAACGAAGCCCTGCCCTGCACGGCGAGGCACACCGTGGCATGGGCCTGCCATGAAAGGCCTGATACCAACAGTCCCTTTCTTTGAACTCTTCTGAGGATTTTCTCTTACTCAAGCAGAGACTTAAGACATTATTTTAAGAAAATAAGATCTGAAAAGTATTACCAATCTCTTTCACTCTTGATGCTCACTTCTCTGGTGCATAAATAAACGGCCACCACTCTCCAGCTAAATGATTTTTCTTGAGCCTCTGACAAGTTTATAATAATCTGTCTTTTAAATTCATTAAATGGAAAAGGCAAAAAAATGAGAGTCCAGGGTGAATAAATGGTTCTCTCATTGCAGTGATTCTGGCAATGCTGGAGGAAGCCGCTGCCTTCTGCAGGCTCTGTGTCCCTCATATCAGCGTGGGGAAAGCAGGTTTTCTGGTTCCTTACCTTCTTCAGGAATGACTGTTAGTGTGACAGTGACACCGGCATCTTTGATCAGCTGAACAATGTTGTCATGGGACAATTCAACAATGGACTGTCCATTCACAGCAGAGATATGATCTCCAACTTTCAGCTTTCCACAGCGATCAGCTGGACTTCCTTCTATGACCCGGCCAATTTTATGAGGAATAACTATGGAGGAAAAAAAAAACCTAGGTTTTTAAATTATTTAACATATCTGTTAGAGTTGAATTTATCATCATCTTTATCATCAAAAACTCAACATAACAGCAAAGAAAATTCTATAAACATGTATCAAAAAAGCACCACGTGTGATCAGCCTATCCAAATGCAACTACATATTGTCCTCCACTCTTTGTCGATATGCATAGATGCTCCTTACATCACTGCAATCATAGCATATAAAACCTCTTTGCTATTTTCCACTTACCATAAACCTTTTTTCCAATTTTTATATTGTCATTCTAATAATGTAGTTTAAATGCTACTGACATCTGTGACACTTATGACATTTTCTGTTTGTCTTTGGCTGTTTAGGCTGCATCATGTTTCTGGCTATTTTAGAAACTGCCCCAATGAGACCATCTTTGGCTCTACTGAAGGGGCATTTACTCCCACAAGGAATCTTGTAAATAAATGCAGTCTGAAATCAAGTTTTGGACTCAGATTGGTCAGAAATCCAGTTATAGTAAAATGACGGATCATTAAAATGCATCATACTTACTTCTGTGGCAAAGTTAATTCCTTTTGTTTATGCCTTTAGAGCTTTTTAAAATTAGAAAAGCTGAGTGGAATTGGAATATTAAATGTTTAACATTAAGATTATTTGGCTTGTGGATAAAATCCGACCCTGAATGCACAAGGCTGAGTCTCAGACGCTTGCAGTGCCACCCATGCAGGTCTACTGTATCCCTAGCACAATGCTAAAGGCCTTCTGAGACTATTAAGACACTTCACTGTTATTACGGCTTAAAATGAGTTCTCAGACATCAGGAAACCTTGTCAAAATACCTTTCACCACTTAATAAGGGGCATTTGTATTAAGAAAGAAATGTTCCTTCTACGTTATCTGAGAATTTCTTTGCCTAGGTCAGTAAATTTATCAGGCACTTGGGCTCCTGTTGAATATGGATTGTTACGAATAGGGAAAATTAATATCTTTAAATGGCACTATGATTATGTTTAATTTCCAAAGTAAAATGGGCTCCTCACTAGTATTTCTGAATTATATCTAGGTGAATGTCAGGGACATTTTAATAGATCTTCATTTGGACTGGAAGTTATTCTTAGCGATGATTTATGTCCTCACGGACAGTGAGCGCCATCCCTTGGCTCTTCTAGGGTTATACAGTGGGAAATTTTAACTGAAAAAAGAGGAAGTCAAGGTTGGAAGCAAGTGCCTTTTAGCTCTGAATTATATTGAGTATTTATTATACCTTTTTCCTGATAAACACAGGACTAGACAAGCTCCAGGCAGGATGGGCTGGTTTCCTGACAGTACCACAGGTGGCACATCAGAAACACGTGGTGAATCACACAGTGGCCCTGTGGTGACCTTCTGAATCAGTATCTTAGTTATTCTCCTTCTTAGAAGAGATTTACTTGTACACAGTGTTCATTCCAGATCCCCTGAGAAGAAAATCATTTAGCTCCTCAGCACACCTGTGAAAGGGGTTTGTTCGGCCTTGGGAAAGCATCAAACAGAATTAACCACTGAAGTCCCAGTGGTTCCTTCTCATCATGTGAGCAGTGTGGTCAAAGGGGATTGGCAGATCTTGGTACAGAACTCCCAGAAGGGTGAGTTGTCGAGGTTAGGGAAGGTCAAAGTGGTTGGACTGTTATTGACTTCGTATTTATAACAGCACCACCAAAAGAGTTAAAAATAGCAAACTTCCGAACATTCTCTGAATAGACTTTTCAAGCTAACTGCTCAGACTACACTCGGCTAAGGAAAAGTCTGAAGTCCTATATACAAATTCTATAGGCATTTGCCATACAGCTAAGTTGGCTTTATCCGTCTCCATTCATCTGTGGCCTAAATCTGTCTCACCGTCTGACTTGTCCAGCTGCTGAGATCTCTTTAGTGCTCTTAAATATTTCTTTTCAGGAAAAGAAAGGACAGTAAATGGCAATGTCCCTTTCTCAAAGAAATCCTCTGCAACCAGAACTGAAAAGTACATGATAAGAGAAACACTAAAGCCTCTGAAGTATTGGCAAAGCAAGAACTAGCCAAGTCCTTTTTCCTCTTCAACAGAGGTCTTTTCTAAGTACTCCGTTCACTTGGCACTGACACAAACTGCGTCCAGGGCAAGGGATGCGGAACCTGGATCCCTGATCTTTGAAAAAGTCACTGGTAGAGGATCTCAGGGTTTTATAACTGGTAGTAGAGATGCTACTGGGAACTCTTCTAGTGACAAATGTCAGCAGAAAATACATTTCATCAGACTGAAAAAAAGACCCACTTATACTGTGCAGAATACCACCCTACACCAAGACAAGGTCCACAAAGAATGATCTATTCTGACAGACAGGTTTCTCGACTTTTTACCTGCGTTAACTCTTTTCTAAACCCAACTTTTGCTGGTATGCAATCTGCAGCAACTGCTCAGTCTCCGAGCAAAAGTTCCTCATTCAAGCTTACCCCGGAAACCTCCGAGCTATACGAGATAAATGGAGTTCCAAGAAGAATGCTTTCAGGGCTCAGAATTTTGTGAGATTATTAACTAGCACTTCAGTGAAATTATGAATTCTGGTTTTTCACCATGACTGAAAATCTCAAGTACTTTGTATAAAATTCACTGACAACCTAAGCCTAATTTACCATTCAGGCTGATAATTAATGAGCTGCAAATACTCATTTCCTGCCACACATTAGCTGCTGCCTCAATCTTACATTTTAATTGGGCTTTCTTTCCCATCTCATTACTCAAATATTGATAAACTTTTAAAAGTTTCTTTAAAAAAAAAGGTCAAGAGGCAGTGACAGTTTTATAAATAATGATGTTGACAATGGTAGGAGAAGCCACAACAAGCCACAGCAGCTAACATTCCCTGCAGGTCCAGGCACAGGGCTTCACGTGCGTTATCTCCTTTCATCCTCACATACATATGAGACAAGAAGTGTTATCATCATCCTCATTTCCCGGGGGAAACCAGAGCTCTTGGAGGGTAAGTAATCTGCCCAAGATCAGACAGCTATTAAAAGACATAAGCAGGTCTAGAATCCAAGTCTGTCTGATTACAAAGCCCAGCACTTAATGACACTATCTTATACAGAGATTTAGCATCTATGGTCTGCAAAACCATCAAAAGAGTAAGAAAAAATTTAAACAAGTATATAAATATTTTTTAATTTTGTATATAAGCAAATAAATATAATACACACAAAAATATATTTAATATATAATGTATTAAAATTTAATAAGACAAAGTTTAAATAGAACAAATGTAAAAATATGTTAAGTATATTTATGTGACACAAGTTATTTTGCTGAATTCCTCTGTATCTCTTAGTTTTACCGTGAACACTAGACTCTCCCCTAGTCTTTGTGGTGCTAGGGAAGGGGTATCTTCAACACAAAAAGTGGTTAGCATGTATCACACGGAGTAATAATCTTTCACTATTTCTGTTACTCTAAATGCATGGGATTATTGCATGACATTAGAATGAGAATATGATTATCTAAAATGGTTATTTGTTTTTGAAATACCGATTTCCAATGATACAACATAAAATCCACCTACAAGCTGCTTCCTTTCATTTTTCTGACACAGGCCACATAATCATCCTCACAGCATCAGTGACAGTTCCAGTTCCAAGCGTTACCATAGCAACTGCTTTTGGAAAATGGAAACTAGTATCAGTGAGCAGTGACCTGATACTATAGTAATAACTCATCCATGTCACAGAATCTTCTTCCTGTACACACTGGCATTAATTTTAGCAAGGTTTCTTTTGTAAATTGGTTTGGCTCACAACACCTGCCTGAAAGTGTTTCCTTTTTTCACTAATGTTTTAGTGACTATCTAGGCTAAAAGGATCTCACTACCCAAGATATAACCAAACTCACTGGCAAAGGCAAGAGCACATTTTCATGTGGTCAAAGATTTGAATCATTTGGCTTGGAAAAATAAAGACACCAGACAAACATGACACACCAGTATCAACTTGCTGGCTCTCATCGTATGTTCATTTGGATTTTATAATTATATTTAAAGATAATTTTTTTCTTAGAAACATAAAGACACGACAAATATTTAGTTTGCTGAATCATAACAGCCCTGAATATATTAGAGGTAATTCCTCCTTTGTTGAGGGAATTAATATATATATTCACCCTTCTCAGATGACAATATTCTGTCAAACTAGGTTCAGGGTATTTAGGTTAATTTTTAAAGGGTCTGACAAAATTTTTACCTTTTAATGAAGCATGTAAAGTAAGAATGCCTCATCATTCAAGAAGGTTGCTTTATAGCTGGAAGATAGCAATTTTTATTAAATGACATGAAAGGACCATTTAAGACATATTTGGGTCAAGATTTTTCTGCTAATCTGTTTTGTTTCTTCTCAGCCACTTCTAGCATTTAATTCATTTCTGCATACATGATTTCTCCTAATTAAAAAAAAATCCTATGCCCCCCAAATTTAAAAAAAATTCAGCACTGTTTTTCTTTCAGTAAATCAGTAAGGTCACATCCCTAATATACTGCTGCAGTATAATCCTGATGCAAACTAAGCTACTGAGACTTATTTTACAAAATCTGAGATGATAGATAAACCGAAGCCTGGAAGGCTTGATTCAGATTATCTAATTTTGAAAGGTAAAGAGAATATGCAGCATTTTAATAAAAGGTAAGTCTCTAAGGCAATTTACACATGATTCCTATTAGTTTCATAAACCCCAGTGGGAGACTCAGAAAACTACAACTGTAAAGAGGGGCAATGGGACACGGGAGCCCTTACCTCCTGGAGGTGGCTTGTTTTTGGAAGTGAGAATGACAAAGCCAAATCCTTCATTTTCTTTTCGTTGCAAGACAACATCATACGCTTCCTGGGGAGCAGGCCTGGCTGGGACCTCTGCTCGGTTCAGGCGGGGAGATCCATTCTGGGCTGAAAGGAAGGCTTGAGAGCTGTCATCCTCAGGTTGTTTCTCTATAATAAACATGATCAATTTTGATATTTCGGGAACATCATAATTTTTGATAACTAAAGCGTTTTTGTGCTAAGCCTTTGACAAGCAAGTTTAGATTCTAATAACATAAAGAAAAGAAAGCCGTGCCCCACCCAAGTGAGCTCTGGATATAATCTGAGTACAGATGTAGGCAGCAGCAGGCCATCTGACTTCTTAAATACTCTCTAAGTGCATAATTGGAAAAATATAAAATGTTATCTCACTTTAAAGGAAGTTTTTCATAGCTTCTGTGAAATTTGATAGTTAAAAAAAATTCTTGAAATTGTTTTCAATCCAGCAGGGTTTTAACCGTGGCCAGTAAGTTTTCAAAAAGTTGATAATGAGAAAGAACACAGTAAACTTCCTTATAAAGTCAACTTTAAATATAATTTAATGCAGTGACTGACATTTATGACGTCTGGGAGGTCACTGCATCGGGACAGAGATGCTGCCCATTATGGGTTGAGACCAGTCTGCCATTGATGCAGAATTTATCTTTTACAATGTGTTTTACAACCGCAGTTGCCTGATCGATGATACCAGATGGGTTAACCATTAGCAGTTCTTGGGTATATAACAAGCCGTCCACGTGAAAAGCTAACTCTCCTAGGCATCCATTAGGTCACATGGAATCTCCAGTAAATGAGCAGTTAACCTATACCTTTTTCTCCCATTCAAGGATAACATCAGAATTTGAGAAAGAATGACACAAATTAGTTCCTATTGATTAAAAAAAAAGGCATCAAATTTGGTGCCATAATTTGATATAAACCATCCTTAACAACAACCACAATATACTGCCACTGGTGACTATGCATTTACAAGGCTTCTTTGGCTCAAAATCTATGTGATACCGAGAATCTGTTTTTGAACCTCAACAAAGTGTCACCGATATCCAATCATTAACAAAAAATAAAGGTTCTTTTTGATATAATGCATGGTTAGAATGAATTAGCTAAAATGCTTCCAATATAACAAACTACAGACTTCATGATGCTTTCCAGGAGAGAGCCAACTCTAGTTGTGTAACATACATAAAACACATTTTTTTACTCTATGCAGTTATGTTCTGATTCCAGCACAACCAAACAGAGGCAACACTGCACTAAATCTGTATGCATCTCGGAATCCCTGATATTTACAGAAAGAGGTGGGTCTTTACTTTGGATGTTGCAATCAAAAACACAGAGCCTCATTTTTAGGCATAATGTAAATATTAACCAAGTCTACAAACATTTATTTTTCATGTCCATTCTGTGCCAGGCAGGCATTCTTCTAAGTACTGGGGATACAGCACATAATCAAATGGACAAAAATTCCAGCCTTCATGAGGCTTACATTCTTGTGGTGCCACAAGGCTGTCTTAAAGTTTTTTAAGTGGCAAGAATTCACTTCTAAAAATTTCTACTTAATATTCACAAAGCTACCGAAGAGAAAAATACAAGAGATTTTCACATCCTAGTGTAATGGTTTAGACCCAGGGTCTGTGATTAAATTACTTGTTTTAATCCCTGTCCTACTACTTACCAGCTACGTGTTTCTCAACATTTCTGGAACTAGAAAAGTGACAGTGTTTACTAGAAAAGTGACAATGTTGTAAAGAGTAAGTAAAAAAAATCCATACACCTGGGAGGCAGTAAGCACTCAATAAATGTTAAATCATATTATACTAAAACTGAAAACTCCTCAAGTAGAAACATTCTGCCCTCTTTGAATATTTAGGATTTCATCAGAACCAAAATCTTTTGATATTCTGCTAATGGGATATCTTGGTATGACTAAATAACTGTGTATCTGTTTTTAAGAAAACAGACTTAACCCGATACTCTGATCTATAACACCACATTGGCAAAATTCATCAATAAATTCATAAAATCTTAATACAGAGACCCCAAATTTATTTCTCTTTTTTGAGAGTAATAGTACTATTTCTGAATCCCTTTGCCCTTACATGGCCTTCCACAGGAAGGCCCTGGATCATACTAAATGGGTTACCTCATACACTATTAAACATAATAAACCTCCCCTCCGCCACTTCAAAAAAAAAAAAAGTGGACTAAGTGTCTTCATTTCTATTTTAACTTCTCAGAGCAGGAACAGGTTCACATACCACCATAGAAGATCTTTCTTCTGACCGTTAATAACACGTGGCCATTTCGAGCAGCAGTCGTCATTAGATCTAGGACTTGTTTGTGTGATTTCCCTTTAACAGGAATTCCATCAATGCACATCAGCTCATCAGCTGCACGCAGCCGACCATCTTTCTCAGCTGCACCCAGAGGAATGATGGCCCCAATGTATATCTGATAAGATATAAAGTGTAGGCTGGTCTGTACAGTCTACTACGATCTATAAAGATCTTTAACCACTAAGTTAAGGACTTCCTGACTCAGTATTGTGCAAATCAACAGATTTTTGCAATTCAGCATGAGAACAGTTACATTCTAGAAAGGCGAAATTTTAGAAATTGACCATTCTCCAAATAGTACTTCAAATAACCACACCATGTAATCTCTTCTGGATCCTCTGGGCTGGGTACAAAAAGGACAGAAAATACAAAGTGGTTCAATAACTTAAAAAGTACCCCTATCACCTCCATCACTACTATAAAACAGAAACATTAAACTCAGAAAATAAAATTCTGTAGAGTAGCAACTAAATGTAAGGTCCACTGAACGTCATTAGGAAAGATCTGTATGCTGTTACAGCAACTGGGATACTTCTTATAATTCTCTGATCACATAAGGCTATCAGTACAAGTTTAATAAGAGAGAAATATTTCCTATTCCTAAATTATAAAGCAGTAAATATTTTAAGGGAACAGAGTGACCTAAGATTTACTTGCATCTAGGTGAAAAGATCTACTTCATTCTGTTTGCCAGCAATTAGAATCCTACAGTTAGGTAATCCTAAACGTTTGGGCTAGTTTCAGAGCTGCTAAAACTTGACATTTAAGAGATGACAAAAATGAAAGCATTTCTTCTAATATCAGGAACAAGACAAGGATGCCCACTCATGCACTTTTTTTCAACATAGTATTGGAAGTCCTAGCCACAGCAGTCTGACAAGAAAAAGAAATAAAAGGAATCCAAATTGGAAAGGAAGACATAAGACTGTCACTGTTTGCAGATGACATGCTATACATAGAAAATCCTAAAGACACCACCAGAAAACTACTAGAGCTCACCAATGAATTCAGTAAAATCGCAGTATACAAAATTAATATACAGAAATCTGTTACATTTCTATACACTAACAACAAAATATCAAAATGAGAAATTAAGGAAACAATCCCTTTTACCACCATATTAAAAAGAATAGAACACTTAGGAATAAACCTACCAAAGGAGGCAAAAAGACCTGCACTGTGAAAACTATAAGTCACTGATGAAAGAAATTGAAGATGATACAACAGATGGAAAGATATACCATCTTCTTGGATTAGAAGAACTAATGTTGTTAAAATGAACATACTACCCAGGATAGTCTACAGATTCAATGCAATTCTTATCAAAATACCAAGGACATTTTTCATAGAACTAGAACAAAACATTTTAAAATTTGTATGGAAACACAAAAGACCCTGAATAGCCAAAACAATCTTGAGAAAGAAGAATGGAGCTAAAAGAATCATGTTCCCTGACTTCATGCTCCAGTAATCAAAATAGTATGGTAATGGAACAAAAACAGACACATAGATCAATGGAACAGAACAGAAAGCCCCAAAACAGTCCTAAAATTTATATAAAATCACAAAAGACCCAGTATTGCCAAAGCAATACTGAACAACAAGAGTGAAGCTGGAAGAATAACTCTCCCAAACTTCAGACAATACTATAGAGCTACAGTAATCAAAACAGTTTGATATTGGCACAAAAACAGACATATGGATCGATGGAACAGAACAGACAGCCTAGAAATAAACCCACACATCTATGGTCAATTAATTTTCAACAAAGGAAGCAAGAACATACAATGCAGAAAAGACAGTCTCTTCAACGAGTGGTGTTGGGAACGCTGGACAGCTGCATGTAAATAAATGAAGTTAGAACACTCACTCACACCAAGCACAAAAATAAACTCAAAATGGCTTAAAGACTTAAACATAAGACATCATAACCTCCTAGAAGAAAACATAAGCAAAACATTTTCTGACATAAATCTTAGCAATGTTCTCCTAGGGAAGTCTACCAAGGCAATAGAAATAAAAGCACAAATAAACAAATCGGAGCTAATTAAACTTAAAAGCTTTTGCACAGCAAAGGAAACCATAAGCAAAACAAAAAGACAATCTACGGAATGGGAAAAAATATTTGCAAATAATGTGACTGACAAGGGCTTAATTTTCAGAATATACAAACAGCTTACACAACTCAGTAACAAAAAAGCAAAACACTCAAAAAGATGGGCAGAAAATCCAAACAAATATTTCCCTAGTAAAGAGATACAAATGGCCAATGGGCACATGAAAAAAATTCTCAGTATCGTTAGTTACCAGAGAAATGCAAATCAAAACTGGCATGAGGTATCACCTCACACCAGTCAGAATGGCCATCGATAAAAAGTCTACAAATGATAAATGCTGGAAAGGGTGTGGAAAAAAGGGAAGCCTCCTACAATGCTGGTGGGATTGTAGTTTGGTGCAGCCATTATGGAAAACAGTTTGAGGATTCCTTACAAAACTGAAAATAGACTTACCATATGATCTAGTAACACCACTCCTGGGCATGTATCTGGAGGGAACTCTAATTTGAAAAAGTACATGCACCCCAATGTTCATAGCAGCACTATTTACAATAGCCAAGACACAGAAGCAACCTAAATGGCCACTGACAGATGACTGGATAAAGAAGTTGTCCACACATACATATATGTATATATACATACACATATACATATACATACAATGGAACACTACTCAGCCTAAAAAAGGAATAAAATAATGCCATTTGCAGCAACATCAATGGACTTGGAGATTGTCATTCTAAGTGAAGTAAGCCAGAAAGAGAAAGAAGAATACCATATGATATCACTTATATGTGGAATAAAAAAAAAAAGGACACAAATGAACTTATTTACAAAACAGATTCACAGACATAGAAAACAAACTTGCGGTCACCAGGGGAAAGGGAGTGAGGAGGGATATACTGGGAGTTCGGGATTTGAAGACACTAACTACTATGTACAAAATAGATGAAAAACAAGGCCCTACTATACAGCACAGGAAACTATGTTCAATACCTTGTAATGGCCTATAATGAAAAGAATATGAAAATGAATTATATATATATGTATATATGTATAAATGAATCACTATGCCGTACTCCAGAAATTAACATAACTTTGTAAATCGACTATACTTCAATAAAAAACAAACAAACCCACAAAAAACAAAAACAAACAAACAAAAAAGCCCAGAAACAAATCCAAACACTTACGGTCAGTCAATCTACAGAAAAGAGACAAGAACATATAACAGAGAAAAGACAGTCTCTTCATGGGAGGAGGTGAGTTTAGTATCCTACCATGCCATGCTGGATCATACCTCCCTCAGACCAGTCATGTTTCCCTTGATTATTTCTAATGGTTGATGTAGTTTTTTAAGATGTAGTTTATTGCTTCCTACTTTGTTATAG